GTTGCAAGCACAGAAACCACTGCCTTAAGTGAGAAAGGAAATCTGTTGGCTTTTGACACTGAGAAGTGTCTGAGGCAAAGGTGTCAGGGCTCCTCCTGCTACCACCTCTCCAAACTAGGCAAAAATCAGCCAGGTGACAGGCATTGCACGGTGCCCATTTTACAGAGCAGGAAGCTAGAGGCCAGAGCAGTAAGGTTCTGTTCTACAAAGATTGCAGAGCTATTTTTCTTAAGCCACAGCCTTCTTAACAAGAAAAGCTTTTTTTTTTTTTTTTTTTTTTTAATTTTGCTGTACAGAACAGTACTGGGACAATTGGCAAAATTTAGAAAAGGTCAATAGATCAGATAATACTATTGTTATCAGTTTTCTGATTTTGATAATGGTACTGTGATAATAAAAGACAAAGTCCTTGTTTTTAGGAAATTAATTTAGGATTAAGGTAGCATTATGCCTACAATGTACAAATGATTTGTAAAATGACATATGAATTCATTCTGTGAATCATATATATAAATATATATAGGTGGGTAGGTAGGTAAAATGTTTTAAAATAATACTTAGGGATTTGGGTATAGGTGTATAGGAATTCTTTGTATTGTACTTTTCTGTAAGTCTGAATTTGTTCAAAATACAGTTATGCACCACATAATGACATTTTATTCAACTAAGGACCACATATGTGATGGTAGTCACATAAGATTTATAATGGCTATACCACATAGCCTAGGTGTGTAGTAGGCCATACCATCTAGGTTTGTATAAGTGCATTCTGTGTTGTTCACCTAAGGACGAAATTGCCTAACAACACTTTTCTCTGAACGTGTATCCCCGTCATTAAGCAACGCATGGCTGTGTGTTTTCTTTAATGAAATAAGGAGTGAGAGTCATCAGGGAAAGTATGGAGGCAAATTAGAGTCTGCTAGGAAAGGTCTACAATCCCATATCTTCAATTTTAGAATCCAAAATCTTTGAAAAGTAAGTTTTCTCAAAATTCACTTGCTAGCAAAACTTGCCTGAATACATTTGGCTACAAAGCCTGACCAATAATGATTTCAGGCTGTATTTACTCCTTTATTCATTCTGCTTACTCTTATTGTACATCTGCTGTACTACAAAAATATTTATTTCATTATGGGGTATTGCTCAAGATCCCACTGAAGGTGTTAATTAATATATGGCACATGTACCTTATTACTTTAATAAAATTCAAAAGTATTTTGAATTTGGAGTTTCAGAAACAGAATTTGGGACCGCCTATTTGTTCCTGAGTGTCTAAAAGCTTGGGACACTAAGCCGTATTGTCTTTTCTGTCTTGGCTCTTCTACTCTCCCAAGACACACACATACGTTCGTGAACATATGCATGCACACCCATACAAACATGGTGGAGGTAAGGTATAGAGGGAGCAGTCTAACTCCCTGGTCTCAGAGTTAAGATGAGTTGAGCAGCTAGGAGAATTTCCCAACTATCCTTCTTTGTCATTTTCAGGAACTCTCTTCTGATTATAAGAACTTGTGAGTATTGTGCATAATGACAAGGTAAATAAAATAGTAATTTTATGCTTATTTTTAATAATAGGTCAGCACGAAACTGCATCATCACGGCCTCCTCATGATTCATCTCTTTCTGCCCCGCTGCCCAAACAATGTGTTTTTGTTACTCCATCTCTTCTTTCAGCAATATGCAGCCTATTAGACAACCTCTTGGTGATTGCTCCAAGAGACACTGCAGATGCTTTACGACAAGCCCATCTCATAGAGCTTCTCTGTAGGTAAGAGATATTCTGAGGGAGACATGGTAGTACAGATGAATTTACACAGGCTATATCCATGACTCGATATAAGACTTTGTGTACTGGGAATATATCCTTATTATTTTTCTAGGCTCATTAGACTCCAGGTTTTTACTTTTGCCAGAATTGTCTTGACAGTTTTTAAGTCTGTTGAAGCACTTTTATTGGTTTGTTATCTTGACTATAAAAGGCCAAACAAAAATCTTGATTTTTAAAATTCAGAGGTTCTAAACCTTATTTGTCTTTCAGCAGACTAAAGGAATGTAGTACAATCCCTTTGGTTATTTTTAATGGATGTAGGGGGGGAGTTTTGGGATTCATCTCTGCAGTGGTCATATCACAGTGACATCCTGGGTTGAAAAATCATTGTTTAAATTCATTTGGAATGAATTTTTTTTTTAGGGAAAACTAAACTTTTCATCAGAAAGTATTCTGATAAAATTTATGGAAATCATGGTTTGATTCTTTAAATTTTTATTAGTCATTTAGCTGATTTTACTGAACCTCTCATAATTTTTTCTAATTTTCTTATAAAGTATAGGAGAAAAGGTCTAGATGTTGAATTCAGGCTGACCTGAGATCTAATTATAATTCATTCACTCAGTAGCATTACAGCCTTGGGAAAGTTACTTTAATCTCTGGAGTGTTATTAGTAACACCTATTTAATGGGGTTAGTGTAAAGAGTAAAAGTGATGGTGTCTATAGTACTCTCTTGGTAAGTGTTACTTCTCTTTCTGATGTCCAGTTTTAACCACATATTCATTTGCATTTCTGTGCCTCCTTGTCTCCTTACCTTTGAATATTCACTATCTAAAATGTCTTCCGTCTCTTTGCAAATCATGGTGCCTTCTCTTTCTTTTTTGGGATATTAAGAAAACTCTGAAAACAAAGTGTTCTTTGTTTTACTTCACTCAATTGTGACTACTCTTTTAACATTTATAATATCCAATAGGTGTGA